AACTGGCTGCTTTAGGTACTAGTACAGTACAGTTTACAGATTATTTCAGTTCATCGAAATGCTGCACCTTAATGTTTATTTTATTATATTTTGTATTTATTTGAGTGAATATTCACAGTTTAATAATAATTAAAAACCCAACACTAATAGTTTATGTTTTGTGAGTACTAGTACAGTAAAGTTCAAATACAGATTATTTCAGTTCATCGAATGCTGCACCTTAATGTTTATTTTATTATATTTTGTATTTATTTGAGTGAATACATTATTCACAGTTTAATAATAATAAAAAATATATATATATATGTTTTGTTTTGTGAAAAAAAATTCTGCTCTACCGAAAATGTACCGAACCGAACCGTGACCAAAAAACCGAGGTATGTACTGAACCGAAATGTTTGTGAACCTTTACACCCCTACCTCCTACTGTATGTCTTTTACAATTTTCAACTTCACTTTCCTTTGACATTCATTAGTAAAATGTCATGAATAATGATGCGGCACAGCCTGTCCTCTGTGGGAAAACTACAATCCTCTTAGCGCATCTACATGCTTTACCCCTACATTGTTATCATGTGGTTTTATGTGGGCTTTATCAACGTGGATATCATTGAAAAATATATAATTTCATTACCGGCTTTTGAATTAAATTAAAACAAGGAAAACAAAAGGAAACGCTTGTTCTCCCTCACCCACCTGTCCACTCATATCACTCCGCACAAATCTCAATTAGATTTGAATCGTCTGAAAACATTTGAATTAATAATACTTCTTAGGTCTGTACATCGTCTACTGCAGGGGTTCCCGAATTGGGGGTCGCAACCCCCCGGGGGTCGCGAGATGATTACAAAATAAAAATGGAAAATTAAAAAAAAAAAAATTATAAAAAAAGATTGATTAATTTTTTTAATAATTTTTTTTGTTGAAATTATTATTAATACTAACGTTTGCATAGACATTTTGAGGGGCGGACTAGCCATCTGTATTATTTCCCCGCAACGAGGCTCCCCCTTTGACAATCCACTAGCGCAGTGTTTCTCAAACTTTCATACCAAGGACCACTTAACCAATAAAAAACACTCATGGACCACCTAACTCCACAACTATCCAAAAACAATAGGCCTGCTTACCCATTCCAACAGTATATAAGAAATTACAGCCTAATAATGACAGTAGTGATAGTGTAGAAAACTGAAATTAATTCACTAGCACCCCCCCCCCCCCCCCCTCCCATCGACAGGGGGTCGCCAGTCTCTGGCACTGTTATTTTGGGGGTCGCAGGCTGAAAAGTTTGGGAACCCCTGGTCTACTGTGCAAATCACCACTCAAACATGTAGGGTTCAAACAAAAATAGCTTAGGAAATCCTACCCAACTCTGTAAACACTGTGAAATGTTAATTGTATTTAATCCTTTAGTTAGCATAACGTTCTGGGTCACAGCATAGCATAGCTGAAAACAAACTAACAAGACTGTTAACTTAAATCCACAATGCACTGAAGACACAGAGCAGTGCTACAAATAATAACACCAACACGAATACAACCAATAAAAACTATGAATTTGATCCAATTTGATATATCCATATAACCAAACACTATTTGAAAACTATGGACTCCAGCCCAAAGATAGGACCTCCCCCTGGGTACCTTCCCTCACGATGGCCCCTTCATCCTTTGGCCTGCTGGTCCCCAATCTGCTCAGGATCCGCCGGGCCCAGCTGGGCCTGAGCTCACACTGGCACCACACGTTCTGAAGAACAGGGGATAAAGATAGTATCCTATGTTATATCACTTTCACAGCAGACAGGCTGTTACATGAAAACACAGACATGAGACGAGCTTGGTGCAAAAGCAATCTGCAAAGGAAACACATAAAGGAAAGGGATTTATTTGCTCAAAAACATTAAAAAAAGTGTTTTAATATAGAATTTAATTCCTTTTTTATGTTGCTTGTCGTCAAATACATTTGCAATTTGAGCCTAAATAATTTAACACAGGCAAAATAAAGGTTGAATTAGTGCAGATGTAATGAATTATATTATTTATTTATTGTATCATCTGTAACAATTACATATCCTCTTATGGATATTAAAAATAAATCAATGAGCATGTTTGTGTTCAGTCAAAATATACTGGTTTGACAGCAGATAGTACAAATATTCTATACCTGCTCCCTTTTTATATCATGTACTCCTATCATCCACTTGCAGCATGGGCCTATGATCAAATAGTGGAAATTAAGTCTGACATTGATATACAAAATAGGATCTTTAGTTTTTTGTCGAACAATAAGTTTACTTTTAGCTCTTATTCCTGCTTTTCAAACACGGTTTTTCATCACTTCACCAAAACACATCTGAGTTTCTGAACCTACTGAGCAATTGAATTCATGAATCCTTCTAAGAGATGAAAGAACACAACATCAAATCAAATCAAAGTTTATTTTTAAATCACATTTAAAAGCGATTTTTGGTCGGGCCAAAGTTCTGTACATGTAATAAATACTACAATCACATAAAAACACATTACTACAATCACAATAAAAGACAATAAATTACAACAGATACATTGTCTTCCATTCCTTTTTCGGTGTGTACATCTCTGAAAGGTTGTGAATGTGGGGGGGGGCAGCGCTTGCCTCTGTCCCGGGTCGTCCGGGCCAGCCGAGCAGAATAACACGGTTAGGAAGGTGTGAGCTTTGTTTCAATACATACAAATCTTCTCCTGCCTATAGTGGGCTTATTTATCCATCAGCAGCAGCACAATGATTTACTTCAGTTTGCCGTTAAAAAACACAACAGTATTCAAATAAAAGGTGTGTGCTTGTACAGCATAACATTAGGAGTTTAATATACTGCATGTAAAACAGTTTGCTTTATCAGCTATATCCATGTGGTTTAGGGGGGCTCAATTCAGAGGTGAACGCTGTTAAGCTTGAGAACATGAATCTACACATTCTTATTTAGTAGTATTAAAGAGGCCTTTTCTGGGTTTGTCTTTTCCTGTAGTGTGTTATATACTGTAGGTTCTTTGCATGTGAATGGTCTGAAAAGGCTTGAATCCCAAAGTTCCCTCCAGAATGTATTCTTCTTCTTTCTTTTTGAACATTAAAGCACATTAACATGTCATAGCAGGGGCACACAATACTAAAATGAACCTAACAATGAGCAGTATGTGTCCTCTTTAAATAGACAGTGAGTACACTTTAATATCAACTCTCAGATTATGTATTATAAATCACTATATATTAAGCACTTTAGGGGCCAATTGTTCTTAAATACTGGTCTGTATGAGGCCATATTCTGTGTTCAGCTTTCTATAATAATGAATCAGTTCCTAATGACAGAGCTGTAGTGCTGCTCTGTGCCCTGCAGAAGGCATCACAACATCATTTGCAAATACCAGCCAAACAGAAAGTCTCAGCCCCGCTTAACATTAGAGTGAACACACGTTACTGTTAATAAAGAGGGACTACACTTAATGTATGTTTAATTCATTCATCACCCTGTACACTAACAACAACCACTCAGCCCTTATTAGTTTGTTTCCTGAGGTATAACTCAAAAACATGAATGTTCCCTCCCACCTCCCAACATCTGAAGTGCTTTCATTATCAGCCATGTGAACATTAGATTAGTATTTTGAGGTGTTTGTTGTTGAAGGATGCGCTCCATGTTGTTTTGGTGTCCCACTTTCGTGTTGGTGTTGAGGAGCCGTGAAACATCCTTGATGTAGTCACAGGTAATGATTCATGCCAAGGTCATGCTGAGTCATGCATGTTGCCGCAGCCTAACATTTCAGTGTTCACATACATTCACATNCATTTCGATGAACTGAAATAATCTGTAAACTGTACTGTACTAGTACCTAAGCAGCCAGTTTGACATTATGACTTGCTTGTCATTGTATTTTCATGTTTTAAAAACATGAAAATACAATGACAAGCAAGTCATAATGTCAAACTGGCTGCTTAGGTACTAGTACAGTACAGTTTACAGATTATTTCAGTTCATCGAAATGCTGCACCTTAATGTTTATTTTATTATATTTTGTATTTATTTGAGTGAATATTCACAGTTTAATAATAATTAAAAACCCAACACTAATAGTTTATGTTTTGTGAGTACTAGTACAGTAAAGTTCAAATACAGATTATTTCAGTTCATCGAATGCTGCACCTTAATGTTTATTTTATTATATTTTGTATTTATTTGAGTGAATACATTATTCACAGTTTAATAATAATAAAAAATNGACCGAACCAAAGCTTTTTGTCGGCATTGTTCAACAAAAATTGGTTACGCTCGGGTGATGCCTTTTCAAATGAGTGTGCAAGTTTGATGTATTGCCAGCCGCGTAACCAATTTTTGTTGAACAATGCCGACAAAAAGCTTTGGTTCGGTCCACCTGTCTTTGTCCGTCATCCTTGTACGTAACTGCGAAACCAAAATGTTCCCAAACCGGAGACTTCAATGATGCTGGAGGATTTTCGAGCTCAACTGTATCTGCGTTCGCCATTTCGGCAGTTCCTCAAATTACTGACTAAATTTGAACGCATCCCTCTGACCAGCTCTCATAGTATGCCTCTCGTCCAATGAAATGACTTGCTCGCTCTATGACGCGTTGAACCAATGTGAGCAAATTACTCTGAATGCTGCGACGCAGCACCTGAGATTACTTCCAAGAAGTTGTTCACGTTCTCAATTTTTTAAGTTTAACGTTATTACTAGTCG